TGATTAACAATTGAAGAGTCATTGGCTAATGTAGATTGATACTGCCTCCATGAAAGAGTAGCATCCTTATGCTTGGATGATGTTTGGTGTACTTGAAGGCCTCCTTCTGTACCTCGAGCTCACTTCCAATTGGAGTAGCCTGTAGAAGTAAATGACTTATCCCCATTCACACCAAAAAAGCGGCAAGGAAAACAATAAATGCAATCCTTTGATACAGAATATTCAAGCCAGGGGTAGTCCTTATACCAGCTGGATTGAAAGGACCTATTCACACTTCCATATCGTTTGGAAGGAAATTTTCCTTCTGGTTGTACTAGACTGGATTTGTTATCTTTTGCTATATCATCTGGAAGTGAAGAATTAGAACTAGAAGTAGAACCTGTCGGCTGAGTATTCCTAAGTAACTGTGAAGTAGACAACACTTCTGTATCTGTAGAAATTGATTCCTCTGACTCCAGATTATTGTCATCACAATTAACATCACTATCTATAATTAATTAAAAATTTTGTCAAGTTATTAAGTGTTTACTTTTACAGGTTTAACAATACTTGCTTTACTTACTGGTATTATCTACAGTCTCATCACATCTTTTCTTGTATGGCTTGTTAATAAAGGAAAGTAAGGAAGCCTGCCGCTTAGTAGCCATAATATTATTCATGAATAATAATTAAAGATAATATTATTGTAAAATTTATTAATTGTAATTAATTAATTAATAAAGATGACGTTGCTTCCTGTTTCCGGTTCAATTCTTAACCTAGGCATTGCCCCCCAATGCCTAGGCCTGCAGCCGCCTATGCTTTCTTCTAGCGTTGCTTGTTTCAAGACTGGTTTAGAGGGAGTACTAGTAGCATGCAGCTGCTCTTTCCGCTTCGCATCTTCATATTCCTTGTATTCAGCAAGATGTTTCTTGAGATGGTTAACCAGGTTAGTTGTAGTGAAACTCTTTACAGACTTTCCTCCTCTAGAAACTTGAGTGCCACAGGTAGTACAAATAGCTGACTTGTCCCCTTCGTTGGCAGTAAAATACTGCCATATTGGTGATCTTCTATTTGACATTTTTACATGTGGCATGTGCCATGTGGCAAATGTGGGTGTGGTCGCTCGTTAGTAATAATATTAATAGTTATAATAATCTGCAATGAAATTAACCGATTCAGATTCAATAGAAAAATGCAAAAATCGGCAGATTCCGATTTATTTATCGGTAATCGGTGCAACTCTATTAATGGAAAAGTGAAAAGTCTTCATTCCAAATATGCTAGTCTCTTTAAATTTTTGACCAATTTATTGCAGTATTGTCATGCCTAAAAGAAGGAGAGAAATCAGTCCAATTTACTGTCTTTAGCAATAAAATCTGTCAAAAATTTTGCTTAATTCACCGGAAAAAAAATCTCAAATCTGCACTTCTTGTGCTACCTTTTACATTCAGAAGCAGTTAGACTTCAAAAAGTAGGTTGAACTTGGTAATGATATTGGAGTTAGCTATAAGTATTCTCATCTACTGGCAGCAAGCCAAATGTTATTAATGATAGCTGCCAGTGTTCTTTCTCGATGAGCATGCACCTGCCATGTCAGCACATGTTAGCATTAAGTGAGTCCTGTCAAGTATTACTATAATAGTTCAGGTTGTGTTGCGAAGAGATGGACAAGAGATGACATACATCAAACCTGTAGAAGCAAAAGGAGTTTATTTTTAGCCATTCATCAGTTGATGTAAGCAGCACCTTTGTTTCAAAAGAATATTATACTCTGGTGCATACTGTTTAGGGGTTTTATTTTGTTCATATCAAATTTTGCGAATTTGTTCATAAATCGTAAAATTTTTGCGAATCTTAACTTCTGCAGTTATTCTTCCTAGTGTGTCACACCACTTTTGAGAAATTTAATTTCGCAGATTTAATGATAATGCTAAAATCATGAAATTTATTTTCAATGAATGACAACCTTAATAGGGCATTTTACATTAATTATAGGTATCTGCCATTAAATATCAGAAAGGAAAAGCAAGACTTTCTGAGCATCAATAATTACATTGGGCTCATTAATAGCATAACAATTGGCATCTCTGGCTTCAGAAGTAGGCATAGCATCATTTTAGAGGCAATTTGATGCTACAAAATCGTGTGGATTAATGAAAAGGAAGCAGTTGTCATGAAGGCCAATGAAAACTTTTTTGTTATTATTTTAATTTAACTTTTATTTGATTAAACTTCAAAGGTACTTGTAGAGCATAACACAAATAGACAATGTACACATCATACAACAGATATAATCAGAACTGAAGGTATAAATCATGCACATTCTGAAATATTTAAACAGTTGAGTCAGGTGATGGTGAAAGTATTAGGGCAGAGTTCGGTACTTTAGACCCAAGATCAAGTTAAGATACAATAGAGACTGGTGCTAATCCTTTGTATCAGAGCATACTATTGCTTCAAATCAGGGATCAAACAGTGATAACAGTCAAGTTAATACTAGTAGAGGATTAAGTAAATTATGGTATAAGAATGTTGTATTGTCATAATAATTATGCATAAAAAATGGTACTTTTACCTCGTGTTGAGCAGTGTTTTGGTACTGCATTTACACCGCGGTATGTTAAGTACAAACCACAATAAGTCTAAATTTTTTAATTAAATGATTACAATTTTCTATTTTTCATAAAGCACATGGTACTAATATTAAAAATGGCTGAAGCAGTAACGAAAAGTTGGGATGAACCTGGACTTGAAGAGTCTGGAGATGACTGTGAAACAGATAGCTCTAGTGTTCCCAGCACTATTTCCAGTCCTTCATTAGCTTTGACAAACTTGGTTCAGAAGAAGAGTACCAAGTTGGTTGTGTGGAAGTACTTTGGATTCGTTCAAGATGAAAATGGTCAGCCAACAGAACTTGACACTCCTAAATGCAAGATATGTTTACAAACTGTTAAAGCTAAGTGCGGAAACACCAGCAACTTGTTTACTCATTTAAGAACATTTCACCCTAAAGAGTACAACAACATGAATAAAACTCAATCTATTAGTACTAAAATGTCCTAGAAACAAGAAGCTATCTAAAAGTAGTGGCCAGTTATCTATACAAGAGTCTATACAGCAGACAAAGAAATGTAACCACGGATCAAAAGAGCATAAGATGATAACAAAGTCAATAGCTATCTTTCTGGCTAAGAAAATGTTGCCTATATACTTAGTGGACAAACCTTGTTTACAAGAAATGATAAGTGTAATTAATCCCATGTACGACTTAACTCAAAGATCACTTTAGTCGACTTGCTATTCCTTGTCTTTATGAAGACACTCGTCACAATTTAGAAAGCAAACTAGCTTCTTCTAGTACTAAGTGTATTGTTCTCTTTTTGTCTACGTCTGATCTTTGGTCGTCTCATACTAGTGATCCGTTCTTAGTCTATACAATTCACTACATTGATTCAAACTGGACTATGCAGACTCGTTGTTTAAAAGCCCTGTACCTTCCTCAAGATCACACTGGGGAAAACATTGAAGAGGCTCTTGGGCTAATTTTAGAAGATTGGAAATTATCCTCTCAAAAGCAAGTTGCCATTACAACTGACAATGGAAGCAATATTAAACTAGTTTGTAATCTTTTACACTGAATCCGTGTAAGTTGTTTCGGTCATGATTTGGACCTTGCTATTAGCAAGGGATTTGTGGATAGTTGTATTGATCACGCCTTTAGATAATGCAGGAAAGTCTTTGCTGCCTTTTCCTACAGCAAGAGATCTCACAGAGAGATGCAAGAATAGAATAATAATCTGTTTAAAAAGCTAATAGCTGATGTAAGTACTAGATGGGGTTCCACTGCTAATATGATTAACATAACTTTGGAACAGGAGGAAGTTATTAGAATTGTCCTGGGCAAGATAGTACTACTTCTCACCTTCTATTGTCATGGCAGGATTTAGATGTCCTACAATGTGTGGCTACTGTTATTACCCCATTCTAAACGTTAACTGACTTACTTTCAGGAGAAAAATGTGTCATTTGCTCAGCTATTAAGCCTCTACTTCAAGTTATATAAACAACCATGCTAAATATTAAAGATGAGCCTACACTAGCTAAAGAAATGAAAATGAGAATAAAAGAAGATTTAGAGAGTCGTTATTCTGATACTGAAATTAGCAGTCTTCTGGACAAGTGTGCCTTCGTAGATCCTCAATTTAAGCATAGGTTTTCTATAGATGATGAGCTTGTAGCTGAAATCTTATCTGAAATGAACAAGCTAACAATTGTAAGTGATGACATACGATGAAATGAGGAGTCAGAAAACCTAGCCCTTGAACCTCTTCCACCAAAGAAAGAAAATTTTAGTTCAATTTTTTGACCAGTATTAGTCACTTATAATTTAGATATATCTCAGCAATCTCAAGAAGATAATGCTAAAAGACAAGTTGAGTTATATTTACAAAACCCTTCTCTTCATACAGACATGGACCCTCCGATTTGGTGGAAACAAGAATCCTCAAAAATGCCCTTTCTCTCTGTTTTGGCACGTAAATGTCTCTCGATCTGTGCATCAAGTGTGACATCTGAACGAATATTCAGCAAAGCTGGCATTATGGTATCTGATAGATGTTGTCTTAGACCGGATGAAATTGAACAATTAGTATTTTTATCCAAAAATTTGTAAATATGATTGGTTTGGTATTGTTCATATTTTCACATTTCTTATAAAGGTATTATTGTTATACCGCAATATTTTGGACATGAATATCGCGAGGCTATGAATTTTAATACCGCTCAACTCTACTTCTACCTGTATCACAAAAAATGTGACCATCCTAAAGAAGCAGAAAAGATAGTAATTGGGCCTTCTTGCAAGAAGTTTAAAGGAAGTCAGATCAGGAAGCCAGTTGCTTTAAAAATAATAGTAGTTAACAGTCATTATAGCAATGTGCTTTTTCAATTTGGGTACTCTCATGGTTTGTTGATTGTCAAGTTAAAGATGCTGCTTTGGCTAGAAAGAGACTGATAGAAGATAATGTAGAGATGTGACTTCAACAGGTTTCTACCTCATAACTGCATAATATTGTCTTTGTGCCTAGTGCTCAAAATATTTTAGCCCTGATGAATGGAAAGCATTGATGAATGTTCTAGAAACTGTTAAACAAAATGCATTATGGTAATGTGGAGCATGCTCAAAAGCTTTCCATTATACACGAATCATGTCTTAATTTGTTTCATTTCACTTGTGTCGGAATCAAAAGAAATACA